CGACGACGACGACGACGACGAGCGCTCTTGGGGGCCTCTTGGGGGTAGTTTGTGGGCCTCTTGGGAAGCTCTCAGGGGCCGCTTGGAAGCCTCGTGGGGGCCTCTTGGGGCTTCCTAGGGGTCTCTTGGAGGGGGCCTGGGACGTCTTGGAGGCTTCTTGGACGGTCTTGGGGTTATCGTGGGCGTTTTCGGCCGAACTTTGGGCGACTCGGGGCCCTCTTGGCCCGTCTCGGGGGCCATCGGACTTCATTTGGAGTGTTTTCGAAGTTTCTAGGCCGCCCGAGGGAAATGAATCTGCCCCCCCACCCCCCCCCCCCCCGGGACCCCCCCCGGGACCCCCCCCCCTCTGGGGAAGGGATCGAAGGGAAGGGGCTTCCCTTCGACTCGATTGCGACACTGCTAGATTTTTCTCTCGCTCACGAGTTTGAGAAGGAAACTGCAAGGAAAGGGGGCGACGGAGGCGACGACCGACGGAGACGACGACTCGAACAGCCAAGCCCCTCGCACACGCCGACAGGGTCGGCGGATTTGTCTTCGAGGAAAACCGCGCCTCCCACGCGAAGTGCTGTCCGATGACCACAAAGGGCTTCCTGGATGGCAGGGCGCGGTGAGGCCATCCACCGACCAGGACTCCGTCGGGGCCGAACTCTCTCGTGCCCAGGAAGTTCGAACTGCGGCCAGGCGCCTGGCCATGGAAGTCACCGCCCGGGAAAAAAATCAGCCGGGCCTCCCGGGCCAGGGTTCCAGGGGCTCGGGCGTTTACGCCGGGACAGTGGGTCTTCGCGCGGAGGCATTTTTCCCGCGCGCCCTCCCGGCCCGAAGCGTTGGGTAGGCGCCGGGATGAGTGAACGGGTCTTGGAGGCGTGGTTTTTAGTGAGGGGGCCACTGTCTGGGTGGCGGTCCGTGCTAGGCTTTGGAAATTTAGTGTTGAGCGGGCGTGGTGGGCCAGCCCAGAGTCCCCACGCAGTGGCAGGGGCTCCCGATGGCCTCCCGCACTCGTAGGGCTTCGGCGCTGGACGTGCAGCGCGAAAGGGCCCCCGCCGGACGAGGCGCGGGGCGCCCCCTTCGAGGTCGACCCAGACCCAGGACCTCGGGCCCATGGTCGAGGGCGGGGGCCGCAGGTGGATGGCGAAGCAGAGCTTCGACTCCATCCCTCGGTGATCAGGCCGCTGGCTAGCCCGGGCCCTGGGGGGGGCTCTCGAGCGGTCGATCCGAGCCCAGCCGGGATCCAGGTTGCCATCGATCCTGGAGACCCGAGCGCCTTCGGAGCAGGATCAGGGTGCGGCGCCCGCCTGATCCCTTGTCGCCCGGAGCTGGTGACAGACTGGAAGCCCCTTGACCTCCTCCTCCTCCTCCTCCTTCCATCGCTTCTCCTCTCCCCGTTGCCCCCCCCCCCCGCCCCTCCTCCTCCTGGCCCCCCCCATCCGGCCCCCGAGGGGAGCGAGGCCGCCTCCGGCAGCCTCGGGGCGTGCCGCGGCGCATCCGCGCCGCCCGCCAGGACGTTCGCGAGGCCGGAGGCAGCGGGCGGAGGGCGGCGCGGAGCCGCCCCCACCGGAAGCGGCACCCACCTTTCCCTCTGCCCCCCGGGTCCCCAGTGGCGCCGGTGGCGGCAGCAGCGCTCCAGGAGTTTCCCTTCCTGGCCTTGGCCCTCCGGCGGCCCCCGAAACTCGGGGGCCATTGGCTCGGGGCAGGAGGGCAAACGCACTGTTGCTGAGAGGGCGCAGGAGATCGAGCGCAGGGGAAGGTCGAGCACTTCGCCGCGGGGCGAAGACGAGGATGAGTTTCTCGGGGGGTTTTCGGCGGCCCTTGCTGGGGCCAGTGGTCTGAGGGCCGTTCCCCGGGGCGAGGGCGGGCCGGGGCCTCCCGCGGGGACTGGCCCTCTCGACGGCGATGGGGCACTCGTCAATACTTGGGGGAGAGGTCCATCTCAAGCAGTTGACCCCCGTTGAGAGGGCTAAGTTCGCGGCGTCCGATAAGGGAAGTGGGGCGCCATGATGCAGGCGGGGGCCGTCGGGGTCATCTCGCCGCCCAGGGCCTGGATCACGAGGGCCATCTCGAGCTGGATGGTCAGGAGGTGGAAGCCGGTCGAGGGGGCGCTCGCCGAGCCGGATGCCAAAGTCGCGCTGGTGCGCCCATGGGCATCGCGATCCCGACTCGTGGGCCTTGGCCGCGTGCGTTCCTACCCCCCAGACGTCTTCGATCATGATGTTTCTCCAGGTGGTTGCCATCTTGGGGGTTGTCGGGGATGTCGCGGGCGTGAGGAACGCGTTTTGTCAGTCTGACCCGATGCGTCGCTCCCAGAGGGAAGTCTGCGTCGAACCTTGCGGGGGGATCGACCTGGCCCCGGGGTTCCTCATCCAGCTCATTGCGAACTTGCATGGGCTGGACGACGCGCAAATGGCGTGGAGACGGACGGTCGTGAGCTTCTTTGAGAAGCTCGGTTCGCCCGCAGCCTGTTGGAACCCTGTTGGTGGACCCGTTGTGATTCCCGAAGAGGGATCCTGAACGCCATGCCCGTGGAAGTAGATGATTGCATGATCGGGAATGCCGATGGTGAGTCCAGGACCTGGCTGCGCAAGCTGCTCGAGTCGAGGTTTCACTTCGGCAAGTACCGCGATTGTCATGCCTGGGGCCTGGATTTCGCTGGGCGCCGACCTTCTACCCCGATAAGATTTTGGTGGACCAAAAAAATATATCCTGGAGGAAGTCAGGCCGCCCACTCTCGCTAAAGGTAGGATGTCTAAGAGAGGGGGCCACTTCCCCCGGAGGAATTTAAGGCTCTCATATCCCTGGTCTACAAATTCAACTGGATCGGTAGGGAGTCCCGACCAGAAACCACGAGTATAGCCAGCATTCTGGCTACTCGTCCGAAGCAGGCCACCATCTATGATGTCACGTGTGCCAACAAGTTGGTCAAACATCGAGGCAGTAGCCTATCGAGGCATCGCCGCTTGGCGCCTGGACCTGGACCAGATGGCCTTCGTTTTCTTCTGATATGCACGAGGGGTAGGAGCGAACGTGAGTACTGACGAGGATCGCGGCATACCCGAAGACCCGGCACAGGGTGTTTGGATGGTTTTGGCCACGGACCGATCAGTTCCCTCAAACAGTTCAGTCAAAATTTCAGTTTTGGGATGGAGATCGAGCAAGCTTGATAGGAATGCGCCGCTTATTCTAGCAGGTGAGACCTTGGCTCTCTCCGGTCGCGGTGGCCGAGGTCGGCTGCCTCCAGGTCCTCTATCGAGGAAGTTCAGGGATCTGGATGTTCCGGAATGCCACCGTGCTTCCGGCCCGTTCACCACCGTGTTGCGGAGACATCGTTCCGTGGGAGGCCGAGAGGATCAGGTGCATGTCGTGGATGCCGAATCAATCTACGACACCATGCAGAAACAAAAATAACGCCAGCACCAAAGACTGCAGGGCCGCCCTAAACCGGGCCATCATCTGCGAGTCACTAGCACCAGTGCGCGGGAGCGTGCGGTGGGTCCTTCACGGACGGATGGCAGAAGACCCTCTGATGACAGGCGTCGCCAAACGTAATGCTGCTTCGTTTCGACATTATGTCTCACGGGCGACTACTGCTCGTGGGCGGCAGTACAGAGGTGGAGCGTCGGAGGTCCGCCCCCACACTGAAGGGGCAAATTCCGAACTGTGTCCCGCAAAGAGTTCGAGGAAGAGTCCACATTTGCCACCTCGAGACAGTTCCTGGGCCCGGAGCCGGTGGTAGGTGGTCTTGGTGCTCCCCCTCTCTCCCTTTCCCTTTTTCCTCGGCCGGCCAGCCCATCTTGCGCCCAAGTTCCGTTTCAGTGATTTGCTGTCTTTTCTTGCTTTTCTTCCTTGCCAGGCTCACCAGGAGCCGATCCAGGGACGGCTGGGGCATGCAGGTTTCTCCCTCCCTGGCGGGCTGCTAGTTCGAAGTATCCTGTTGGTTGCGGCCTCTCACACCAAAGAGAAGCTGAACCTAGGAGAAACCTTGACGACTGCTTCGGGAGAGCACTCAGTCGAGTCAAGGTTCAGTTTTAGGAATTGTTTTCCGTAGCTAATTTGGCTCAAGGCTAAAACATTTGTCTCCTTTTCCTGCTCCCACCATTTTCTTGTCGTTGCGTCGGGCCTTATAATATTCATGGTCGCCTTGGCCATGGGGGATGCACGCGCATCGCCACTGTTCCTCTTCCCCTCCTCCTTTTCTTTTTCGCTCGCCCTTCCATGCACCGATTCCATGACACATGCATCTGCATTGCTGCCCCAGTCCAGGATTTGTGATTCGGGCCTGGCGGGCAGCACGTGGGCGCGTGCGTTTGGCAGCCGGCAGCCTGATTGTGGACACATCAAGCTGTGGACGTTGGTTTGTGCTTCGCGTGATCCCTTGCCTTCCCTTTCCCCCCCTCCCACAAAACTGCGCTGAAAAACATGTGTCTCAGGATGCTCTCTTCCTATCGTTGTCGCGCTACTAACTTCAAGACGTTGTGGTCTCTGGGTGAGGCTATGGAGCTATGGGTTCCCTGCGAGATCCGAGCGGGTCCAGGCGTTCCCGGGCAAGACGGGGTGCCCGCAACAGTTGGCTATCGCTCGGAAGTGTGCTGGTTCCTGATCCGGTTTCCCGTGGTGTGCGTTCACATCTTGGCTGCTGCATCTGCGTGCTCGGGGTGCGCTTCGAGTTGGCAGCCCTGCAGATGGGAGATGGGTTGCCAGTCCTGTTCCACCTCCGCCTCCGCCGCCTCCCGCCACCGTGACCCGCCACTGGGACCGACTTTGTTGTCTTGCAGGATCCAGGATTCGGGGCACCGAATCCTGGATCCTCGAGCCGGGGCTCTCGAGACCTCTTGCCACCATCTCGGCTCAGGCCGCCTGAGGCTGCCCATTCTGTCTTCCGAATGAAGTGTCTTCAGTATTTGTGAAACAGAGCCTGGTTGCATTCATAGTGCTGGGGGTGAGCTACAAGGAGGTATTGCCTTGCCAATAAGTCCTTCAGCCTCTTATGCGCCGTCACCTCGTGTGGTATGAGTGAGGTCGATCGTCGTCCTTCGGGATCGCATTCTGCGCGAGCACCGCCCCGAAGTGCCGCCCCAAGCGAATGGGAACCTCTCTTGGGCGCAAGTGGAGGACGACGACATTCTCACAGCGGGACCTTCCTCTCGCGGCACTTTCCCGTGTACTCTCCCCGACCGTCCCCCCGCGACGGCCACGGAACGTTTCGAGACGCCGAGAGCGCTGAACAGGACGAGAACGAGGCCAGGGACGACGGCCCAGGCGTTTGCCCGAGCGGTTGCAGCAGAGAGAGCATCTACAGATTCGCCATCGTTTATCCCGAGTTGTACAGGATAAAGCATAGAACCTATTACTCTTGCGACGTCTGCGTCGCAATCCTTCTGCTGGCCATGACGGGGATCTTTCAGGCCTACATTGTCCAGATCGCTGGAGGCCACATTTTGACCCAGAGCCTGAACCAGTATCGCTTGAGTGTCCAGACGTTTTCAGCGAAGGAAAGCGAAGGGGGACTGATCGATGGATGGAAAATGCTCGTCGGACAATCCCCCCCAGAGTGGGTCAAGCCTATCGTGGGGCAGGATTTGGCTCCACAGGAGTGCTGCCACGCCGTGTCGTGCTCGGCGAACATTAGATGCTGCGACCCTGATCTGAATGTCAAGAACAGGGAATGGTCTAATGAAACCCGAATAAAGCCGCAGCACCTGAGCGCCGTGTGCTACAAGGACAGGGATGGCCTGGACTGCGGCCCACCGTCATTCCAGCTTGTTCCTGGCGCTTCGCGGTGGCACTGCCTGACAAGCATACATTCGAAGACTCGGATAATGGACGCGGCGACGACGCCAGCATGGGCGTTCACGGCTGAATTTTCTCCAGGGTCCCTTCTCGGGCACAGGGGCCCACAGAAATCAACCCACGGCACGAATTCAGCACGAAAGACGATGTCGAGGGCCTCTGGGGACCTCAGAGAGAGTTGTCCGTGTAAGTTTGAGCGGTAAAAGCGGGGTCGTCAACCAGGGCCCCTACCGTCAAGGCAGTGATTCGCCGACCACAGCAGACCCGCCACGAGGACGTATGTTTGGGGAGGCAAGGCGCTGGACTTCTTGTGGCATCTCAGCGGGCCAGGTCCCCGGGCAGGAGGACGACGGCCCTGCAGGGCCCATTTCAATCCGGTCGACCCGATGCGATGTCGAGTTCGGCCAGTTCGATCAGATTCGATCCGATGCGGCTCGAGTAGTGCATGGCGCTGTTGTGCATCATGGCACGACCGAACCAGCTCGATCTCGACTCCGTACCGATGCGGCCCGATCCGGCGCACGCTCCGAGCCGACCCGATTTCTCGATTCGATTCTGGCTGGCCCTGCGGCCCTGCTATGCCATCGGTAGGTCGGAAGGCTCGCCTTAGTTCGGTCGCAGGCAGGGTCGATGGGGCAGCGTCGGGCGCCACCCTCGGCAGCCCCGGTCGTACGGGCGGAGGGGGTCGGCGGATCGGCCGCTGGAACGAGCTGGACGTCGACGGGGACGGGCTCTGGAGCCACGAGGAGGCCGTGGTGGACGTCAGGAGGAGGAGGAGGAGGAGGAGGAGGAGGAGGAGGAGGAGGAGGAGGAGGAGGAGCAGGACGAGGGCAAGTGCAAACCCAAGACGCATCAACGATGCTGCAACTCACCCTCCCTCCAAGTTTCCCCTTCACAGGTCCCCACAATAATTTGTTGTGAAGGCCTTACGACTGGTGCCGCCGACCCTGAAGGCGGGACCTCCCATGGAACCCCGTTGGCGACCTCCCCACAGGGGGTGGACCTCTTGTCCACTTATCCACCGGGGTGGAGGCGGGGGGAGCGGTCTTCAGTTTCCCCTGTCCACCTTGGGACCACCCCCTGTCTCCCTTGTTGATTGGGGGGGGGCTGAGGGGAGAGGGGGGGAGGGGGAGGGGTCTGGAGCTCCCCCCGGCCACAGGGGGACGCACTCCTTGTCACCCCTGTCCACAGGAAGAACCGGGGAGGGGAGGGGGAGGGGCCTGGAGTTCCCCCATGTGGATATGATACGGGACACTCTCCAGGAGTGCGTCTTGTGCGCGCAAAACGGCCGCCTCGAGACATCCCGCCCTGGCTCGCAGGCGCCGTCGCGCGGCGCCGACGCGCGGCGCCGCGGCGCGGCGCGGCCCGAGACTGGGTGGCCATGCCCGAAAGCCCTAGGCTGGGGGCGCCAGGCCCTGGGCATGAAAGTGCGGAACACCTCAGGGCCCTGGGTATGAAAGTGCGCCTTGCGCGCGCAGAACGGCCGCCTCAAGGCATCCCATAGTTGCCGGCGGGGCCGGGTGAAATTCCGCACCTTCCGTTGATTGACCGGCTCATCTGAGTTGCACTGGCTGAATTGGAGGGGCACTTTTGACAACACATTTCAAGCCCGCCCGCGGGCGCAACCGCCACCGCAACCAGGTGACACATTTCAACCCTCCCGCTGGCGCCACCGCCACCGCAACCAGGCGACACATTTCAGCCCGCCTGCGGGCTCAACCGCCCGAGGAGCAGGAGGTGCATGAGCACGAGGAAAAGGAGGAAGACGGAGAGGAAGAGGAGGAAAAGAGGGAGCGGGAAGAGGAGGATGGGCAGGACGGTCAAGAGGAGGAGGAGGAAGAGGAGGACGACGACGACGTGATAGAACATGGTCATGCGATTGGGTGAGAAGCACAGCCGCACGTCTCGCTGTCAGGTGTTAGCGTTGCCGCTAGCATTCGGCCCAAGTACCATCTGACCTTTTCAGAAACTGGTTCCCGCCATATTGTCATAGTAGACGAGCCCGTTGTTCGCCCCACGGGTCCCAGAGCAGAGATTGCAGCGGCGGCCGCAGCGGCGACCCCATTGGATCCCGGCAACAACGACCCCGCTTACAATGTATCGTTACCGGAAGTACGTGAAGCTTGGTACAGTCTCGGCACGAATCGGTTCGCGGAGCTGTGCGTTAGCACCGCCCCAAAAGCCAATTACGAAGGGATGATGCGACTATCCGAGCGCAATGCCACGCTCGGTACCCAGACGGTTTACGATGGCGTGGCGTTCTCGATGTTGCGGATGAGCTACAAGATGAATGTTCCTCTGATATCGGCCATCCGCCGCAACATGCATTGCGAGGAGCAGTTCGACAATTTGATCACGCGAGGACAGAATTCCAACGTCAAGCGAGCGCGCCGAAGCATGTTACCAATATCGCCGAAAGTATACAGACCGCTGGAAACACGGGGGCCGGAGGAGGTGCAAGCAAACCACTTAGCGAATACAACGCCGTTACGATGTTCTCGGGTGGCCAACCCAAATTCATGGTGTGGAAGGAGAAGTTGCTGAACGCGCTCGCCCCACTGAAGCGCGGTTATCGGAAAACCCCAGGATGCTTGGGCAACACATTTTACACCATGGGTGGGGCGTCGCCGGGTGATGAAGAAAACAAATTAATCAATCACATGAGCGGGAGGTTAACGCTGAGTGGATACACCAAAGCGTCGCTAACTAAGAAACAAGAAGACGGCGCTAAAGAAGAGCGTGGGCTCGATGAAAAAGGCCACGCAAAGTTGGATGATTACCTGTGTTATGTATGACAAGTTTGAACGGACGGAGCCACGGGGGAAACTCAAGGGCTTGCACGGGGGAGACGGCTTAATGGCCTACCAGAGAACAGACGCATGGCATTCAGCCGCTGCAGGAGTCACACTGTCAGGCGGGATGAACCTGGCCACGAATCCCAAAAGAACACCATGAAGGTTATCGACGGGGCGGCCCAGCTGGAACAGTGGAGCGCGTTGGTCGAATCCCTAGAGAACTATGGGGATGCGTGCTCGTTTCTTTTTCCTGTTCAAGGTTGCTGCTTTGCGGGCTGTTATGGCCCACGCAGGTGACTAGTTCATCTACTGGCTGCAGGATTGCTGCAAGACGCCAGAGCCGGTAAGCATTGTCACCAACCAGAACTCATCATCAAGTGTGAGGATTGGACCACAGCAAAAATTGACGCCGTCGCGAGCAAACAACGACTTCATGGATATCGGCTAAGTTGACGAGGCAGATATTGGGAAGTGGGGCACGAACGTGAACGAGTCCGGCTACTCTGGCGAAGGTGGAAGTTGGTGGACTTGGTATGGGGGAGACATGAGTGGAATTGGCGACAGGAGCGAAGGTGGCAAAGACAGTTATGCCATGGTAGAGGGCCCATGTGTTACCAGTGTGGAGGATCTGGGCACATTGCCAAACATTGCGCCACCAAAGGAAACATCAAGAGAAAATGAGGTGGCCTGAAGGGGAATGCAAAGGAGTTACTTCCGGGCGCAGTTGTGAGGATGCAAAAGTAGGGCACCAGGGGCCGCCCAGGGGCTCACGTCCAAGGAGGCTACAAAGGGATCCCTCAGGAGGCTACCCAGGGGGCCCCGTTCCAGGATGGAAAATAGGAGATAGATAGGACCTGCGCCGATTGTGTAAATATTCCCATCCTTTGCGCTGCGTCTAGGGCGCGGCATGCCGGGCCGCTGCCGGGAACGACACCATGTCTCTGCACCGTGCATGCCAAGACCCGGATGCTGCCACGCACAGTTTTCCGCCAGTGTTTCTGAGAATATTGCGCTGCGTCGTAGTGTCACACATCAAATGGGCCTATAGGGTATTCCGCCACAGCACCTAGCGAAGCGATTCCCAGGCGGAGTCGGGGGACTCTGTGTTGAGCTCACACGCCGAATTCAGACTTCCACGCAAGCTGTGGGAACCCGCAGCCGGCCGGGTTAACGTCGCCACATTTACCCGCCACGCGCGTAGCGAGCAGCAGCATTCAGCTTGCCGCTCGGCACGGCATGCAATAACATCAGCTCATCCAGAAACGGGCGCCCAAGGAGTGAATTCGATGTCTTTCCCCTCTCCCTCCCCCTCCGGGCGCGCGCGCGGCGACGTGCTGCGACGCCCCTTCCCTTCCTCGAGCAGCGCGGCGTGCGAGAAGGACGAATGGCAAGGGCAAAGCACCTTCACCATTTTGGCTCAAGCACCCGATCGCTACTGCAGTGATGGAAAAGCCAACGATCGCCATCCCTCAGACCGGCATGCGCCATGCCCGATCGGATCCTCAGGTGGGCCACGAGCGCAACCTCAAACGCGCCCGCGCGAGCGTGGACTCGCACCTCCGGGGGCGCTTCTGTTTGCCATTGAACCCAAATGTTGGAAATGATTTCCCCGTCAACTTCGACCGGGCGCGGGGCTGCCTGCGCAAAACAGCAGACCGGGAGGATTTGATATCAGAGCTAAGCGAGGGCGAGAGCTAGACTCACCGAGCTTTCACAGGCTAAGAGCCTCGACGTCTACGCAGTGACGTACAGGCCGACATTGTTGCGGCCAGTGCCGATTGCTGATGCACGGCGCCTGGTGCCGATGGCTGATGCACCGCGCCCTGCCGCCGCGGCCGCCGTCGCGGCCCCTTCCGAGGCGGTCGCCCCGGGGGGCCTTGGCCGCAGCAGGTCACCGAGGCGCCTGGCCGTGGAGGGCCAGCAGTTCCCTGACACCGACATCGGCCTCTCGGCGGAGCTGAGCCGCATCGTCGACGACCTTGCCGCGATGGAGGAGCGGGCGGCCGAGTTGGAGAGCGAGCTGCAGGCCCGCTACCGGCGCGGGCTGCCCAGGGCTGAGGCCGAGCACGCGCGGCAGCTCAGGCAGGAAGGAGTTGCAGATGCACCGGCGGCAAGCCGAACATCTGGTGGAGGGCCGTCGGCAGCAAGCAGCAGTCTTCGTTGAGAATGCCAGCGCGCAGGTTGCCCAGAAGGCCCTCGCACGAGACGCTGCTCTTCGGGATGAACTTCGTGGCTACGAGGTCTCGCTCGAGGAGTCTGCCGCCGCGGATGCCGCGGCGCAGCGGGCCCGCGGGCCGCGGAGAGAAGATCGCGGCGCATTTCTGGGCAGTCTACCCGCGCGAGGCGAGGCTCGACATCGACGCCCGGGACAGAGCCTTCGCGGAGCTCGGGGGGGTGGTCGAGCGCGAGACGGCTGATAGCGACTCGGCTGTCCTGGCCGAGGCGCAGCGCGAAGTGCCCATGGCCGGGCAGGCTGTGGACCAGCAGGCCGCCGCCCTTCAGGGCGAGGTCGCCGTAGCTGGCGCCGGCGCTGCCAGGGCCGAAGGCACGCAGCAGGCAGAGGTTGCGGCTTCTCGCGATTCCGTCGACTACGGCATCGGCGCGAGGCCGGCGACGCGGAGGTCGTCCAGTTCAAGAGGGAGGTCGACGATTTCAGCGACGAGCTCGACACCTGGAGCCACGAGCTGGAGCTGTGGAATGAGCAGGGCTTGGAGGCCCAGGCAAGGTTCACTTCTGAGGCCGAGCACCTCCGCGAAGCCAACCGGCACATGCAGGAGTTCTCGACTGAGGCGAACACCTGCATCGATGAGGTCGCGGGGGCCATCGAGAACTTGGAGGAGCCCCTCGCCGCCGAGACCCGGGCGAGGTGCGAGGAGTCCGCGCTGGCTGAGGAGAAGGGGGGCTGGGACTACGACGCGAAGCAGAGATTGCCAGAGCGGTGACTGCTCGACCGA